TGACTATGTTGTATTAAAATAATTAATGTTAAATTTAGGATGCACTAGTCTAGCTGTTTCAGTTTATATACAAATATCAAGGGTGCATAATTTTTTCCCCAAAATAAAAATCTATCTGAGGGCTGCGGCCAAATGCAATAATGCAATTCATGAAATACAAATACTTCTTAAGTACAGTCCTTTTATTTTATTGATTATGTCCTACTGGAGTCATGATTTGTTTGTGTACAACTAATACAGTATCAGTTTTATGTATTTATATTTCTCATTTAACCACAATTAAATTCACTATGTAGGAGACACAGTTTGTATGGATAGTATTTATTTTTTACAATAACAAGCTGCAATGAAAACAAGCAAAAATGAAATAAAAGTAATGACTTTCTATTATTGCCTTTTTTTAAAATGTAGGAGTAGAAAGTACAGATAACTGTATGAAAATGTGAGAAGCAGAAGTAAAAAGTAGGCTGAAAAATAATTACTCAAGTAAAGTACAGATACCCAAAATTGTACTTAAGTATAGTAACAAAGTATTTGTACTTAGTTACTTTWCAACTCTGCTAAAAGCATACATTTGATTTTCAGTGAGTTTCCGCAGCGTCTTCACTAATCCGAGTGATGCAGAGAATAAAGAAGCCAGAATTTTGGCTCCAACCTGCCTGGTCTCAGCAGAGCAGYCTGATAATGATGTTTCACCACATACACACTGATGTTTGAATGTCTCGAGCTAAATGGCCTTTATGACGACAGTCTGGTCGTTTTCAAAGAGTACGCATGCCGCTCACTCCACTTGCACCTACTCCTTAGATCTTAAATAACTTTGAAACAAAAATGTAGATTTTTTTAGATGGTTTTATTATTTGTTGCAGAATTTGTTGAGGTTTTAGATGTAGAAGTAAAGCATGCAAAACGATTACCAATCCCATTTTTTGTTTTTTACAGAAAAGAGCAGTAAGGATTATTACCAGAAAGAATTACAGACACCCAACAAATTCATCATTCCATCAGCTGAAGTTATTGAAGTTCTATGATTTGGTTGATTATATTTTATCACATATGAATCGGGCTCAGAAAAACACCTTACCTTCAAACATCCAATTACATTTTACTAAAAGAGAAAGTTGTTATAATCTCAAAGGGATAGAAATGTTTGTTAAACGTAAGTTTAGAACTAGTTTGAAGGAATGAAGTACTTCAGTCCAGGTTATAAGATTGTGGAATGATCTGGTGAATGAAATTAAAAATGCCCGATCAATATGTATTTTTATGAGAATGTTAAAGGTAAATTTGTTACAGAAATATGTAACAATATAACAAATGATTTGTGTTCAAGATGGAGTCAAACCTTTATCGTTTTTTCTTTTCATCTTTTTCTTTTCTTTTATATACATATATACAG